CCTGGCTCTGGCATCAGCCCTGCCTCTGGCCTCCCCACCCCATTGCACCTTCCCCAGCATCCAGCACTACTCCCGTGCTGCGCCACCCCACTAAGCCTTTCCCCCCCATGCTGCCTGGCACTGCCCCCCCATCCCACTCCATCTTGTGTGATATTGACTTTCCTTCCCTCTCCGCTGCTTTGTATTAATTCTCTGTCTGAGGGATAATCCCCCCTCCTCCCCCGGCCAGGTCCCTATTCTCTCCCTTCCCTACCGGATCCCTGTTCTCGGTTTTAACCCCTTGCTCCTTTCTGTGTGTCTGTAGGTGACCCGCTCCTCCGGTCTGGTATAAAGCCCCTTCCAGGTCCTATTCATGGTGCTCACTGTCATCTTTTTTCCACGCTCCTGCTAGGTGATAACTCCTCCATGTTCTGTCTGGTTGGGGGGAGGGAGTGTCCCCATTTGGCATGTTTAGGTGTCATTTCCCTTCCTTAGCTTGGTACCAGGAGAGTAGAGGGAGCTAATTGCATCAGGAATAGCATGGCTCATGCTGTCATGCTAGCTATATAAAAGTGAGGGTCTGGCACTAAGTACATGGGAAGAGAATCCCTTTATCTTGCAAAAGAGGGAAAGAAAAAGGTAGGCCTAAAAAGGGATTTTTATTTGGTGTGTTTCTGTTTTTTCTCCTCCCCTTCATCTTTATTTGAAACCAAGTGGGTTGCCAGGAGGTAAGCTTGTAAACCAAGTGAAGAATTCAGGTTAATTCCTGTAGCTGTTTTTTTCTTCTTCTGTCTGATCCCTCTCTCGTGATATGCTTGGGTTTTTTTTTTTTGAATAACTAAAAGGCATATATTTTTTCTGTTGCTTTTACCTGTGTGCTCATGTTCCTTATTCCCTCCCACGTGTGACTGGTGTACACATTTTCTTTATCTTGAAATATTTGTATTGGAAACAGATTAAATAAAAATACTACTGTCAAAGCTTAGTCCTAACTTGTAATTACATTTCTCTTCATAAAAGGTAAGCTGAACTGTAAATGCCCAGCAGTGTGTATGCAAATAACATAGCTTTCTATGCATATGTGATTATTTTTTCTATAAAAAATAAAATACCGAGTCAGAGAAAGGAGGATTCATGTTTATTCCTATCCTTCCATTTTGAAATAACTGTTGTAGCCTAGCAGCTTCAGGGGAGAGCCGAGTTCGTCTGTACAGGATAAATTTAAAAAACAAAAGGTCTGGGAGCACTTTATAGACTGACAAAACATGTAGATTTCGTGGGCACAGCCCACTACTTCAGATGACTGGAGAAGATCAAACTTTTGCCACACAGCTTTGGACAAGAAGGTAGTCGCCTCAAGGGGTGTCCCAGGCCTTGCATGCAGATACAGACACAAAAGGGAAAGTCTCTAAATTAGTGTAAAACAAGACTCTTCCCTTTTCATTTTTGCAACTCCTGGTCTCAACTTGAGTTAGCAGGTTGAGATGAACCCTAGACTCCACCCCAAAGTTTGCCTCAACTTGCTCATGTGTGGGAAACCTATTACAAGCCTCCCTGTTTTCAGTGGGGTTGTAGCTATGTTCACTCATGTGAAATAAGAAAAACGCCCTTTTTTTTCTCTTAATGAACATGTATCCTGGGTGTTGCAAGGGTGTTGTTTAAGACCTAGGAGAAAGATGCAGGGTTTTAGACAACCATTCACTCCTGCAGTGACTTGGACTTCTTTTGCAGTAAAAAAACCACATGCTCATCTTGCATTTACGATTGATCTAAAGGTGAGTTTAGGAAGCAAAAAGTAAATATATCAAGGGTGATAGCAACCCCTACAGTTTCCTAGGAAGTAGTATAATGCGGTGAAGCAGTCAGAAGAGACTTCCTGAAATGGGGTGGGAGGATATAGATATTTTTTAAGAAAATATTCAACAAGAAATATTTTGTCTTAATAGCATTAACATTGAAACATCTCCTCCTGCTTTCAAGTTAACACAGTTGATTTCACAAGGAAGAATAAAAGTCAAAGCTTTGCTATTAGAGTTGTTTGGATGAAGACTTTGTATGTGTAGCTTAGCAAGGGCAGCAGCAGCAGTTGATTTTTTTTTTTTTTGTTAACAGAAAATGCTAAAAATGTGGGAACCTACCTCAATCAAAAGATTGGGTAGAAAAGGACAATTACTAGAGATGCTACTGGATTGTAGGGTTACAGTTTGTTAATATTTTACATTTCAAAAGGTTATAATTAGAAGTCGTCAGATTGTAACTTTCTTTCCTTAGCTTTGTCTACATCAGAAAATGTTGGTCCTACTCCCCTGTTGTAATAATCTAAGACAATAACTGAGAGAACACTAGAAATCGCCATGCGGAGGCTCTTATTCTGGTATAAGAATAGCTTTCTTAGGCTTTATCTGCATTTTAAAGCTCAGCTAGCAGCTCTTTAAACTGAATGTGTGGCCATGGCTAAGAGTTCTCCCAGGCTTTGTCTACACTGCAGGGTTTTTGTGCAAGAAGCTTTTTGCGGAAGCGATCTGCTGCAAAAACTTTTTGGGCAAAAGCACGTCCACACCTCAAAAGCACATGGCAAAAGCACTGTGCTTTTACACAAGAGAGCGTAAACATTGCATAAACATTCTTGCTCAAGAAAGCTCACAGAATGGCCAGCAGAGCACCTTTGCTTTTTGGGATAGGCTCTTTTTGTGCAAGAAACCCTTGTTGAGTGTCCGCACACATCTTTTTGCACAAGAACTCTTGTGCGAAAAGGAGTTATGCCTCATAGAAGGAGGTATACCAATACCGCAGAAAGTCCTCTGTTCTGTCGATTACCTGTAGATTTTCTTGCGCGAAAACGCACTTGAGGTGTGGATACTCCACAGGTTTTTGCACACAAAAAAGTCTGTTTTTGCGCATAAGCTCTAGTGTAGACATAGCCCCAGTGTTCTATATTAACCACCTCAGTGAGGGGGGTAGCTAATAGTGCTGGGAACACAGCTTCCAGTGCTGTAGTCTGGTTCACACTGGTGCTTTACAGCACTGCAACTTGCTGCATTTGGGAGTGGGAGGTGTGTTTTCACACCCTTGAGCCAGAAACTTACAGCTCTATAAAGTGCTAGTGTAAACTTAGCCTTAAGTTGTCATTGGGAAGGGGTTTAAATTAAACTGGGAAAACTTCTTTTAATAGTATGGATTCCTCAATATATGACGGATAACCTGCCATAATGATTTAATTTGAGACAGTACTAACTTTTTTAGGCCTTATCTGCTCAGGGAAAATTGACTTGAATTTGCTGTTCCAGAATAACTCCCTGTGTGGACATTCTGTTTTAGAATAAAAGTCACATTAGTATTCTTGACTTTTATTCCAGGAGTAGTTATGAAATAATATTGAAATAACAAGGAGTTATTATGGAATAGTTTATTCTGCAGTAGCTGTGCTGGTCAATTTTTCTCATGTAGACAAGACTTTTACTACTTTTTTTCTATAGCCAAGGCCCTAGAGATACAGTGCTATGACTGAGGAGCCATTTTTTAAGGACGATTTTTCTTTCAGACTCGCTTTTCTCATATATTTCATTGTAATTCAAGCTTGAGGTGCTATGGAGAAGAATGTTCAAAAGATTCTTAGAATTTCTAGGACGTGTCATTTAAATTAAATTGAGGGTAGCGCAAACCAGAATGCGATTTGGCTAAGAAGGATATTGGTACTGATTGGGGAAATTTGGATAGATAGCCTGGTTTATGTTACATACCTGAAACAGATACTACTATCCGCTGCTCCCCTAACTATATTTATGAAGAGTGAACACTTAAGAAACAATATGTCAATAATTAAAACATGTTTCATTTTTATTTAGAATCTGCAGGAAGAGGAGACTGACAGGCTATGTAAGGGGATGTGCATCATGCTGTAGTGGAAGGTATGAACAGATTAAATAATTGAAAACAAAATCTGTTTGCTGTGTTTTGCATTAAAATATTTTGCTTGCAAGCTTTCACTTATTCCTTTCTCTTCTAACCCATAATACTGTTATTGTTGTGGAGCACGTTTCCATTAGAAACTGTATTTTCTACTGTCTAAATGTGTACTGATGATAATTCCAGTTTGTAAATTGGAAAAAAAATCTGGTATTGGTCAGCTATTTTCAGATTATAGGAGGCAAAAAATGAAGTTTAGGCTTCCTCCACTTATCTACTGTTTCAAATACAGATTGAACCTCTCAGTCTAGCACCCTCGGGACCTGACCAGTGCCGAGCCAGAGAATTTGCCAGACTGTGGGAAGTCAATATTGTCTTAACAGCATTACCAACCTTCCTCTTACTCGGCTCTTAGAAGACATTTGGGAGTAAATTAGAGCTAAGTAACAGCACAGAACACTGAGAGCCAGGGCTGGTGGCTGTAAACAAAGTTTATGGAACTGTAGGAAACTTGGCCACAGCCGTGTTAAGTGGACATCTGGCTAACTAAAATCATGCTGGACCAAAAATGTTGCTGGGCCAGAGAGGTTTAACCTGTACTGTAGTTTATTAAGTGTATATTTTGACCTCTGGATGCTGTACAAAAATAAATTGACCATTTACTATGAGGGACCTGGGAAAAGGGATCAGGATTTTGAAATCTCACTTTCCTCCAGCCTTTAGGTTTGCACAATAATTGCACTGTATCTCAGTGGAGTCCTCAGCTGAAGTGCCAAGTTGTGGCAGGGTGCAGTGCTGTGACTGGTCCTTGTCTCAGTCACCTCTTGCAGGCAATCCATCTCTCAGTGGGTCTTCTGTGACGTGCTTGGTCCTTCAGCCACATCACCAAGTTCAGTCCCTTTCTGCGGCCCAACTGAAAATGCATGAAACATCCCAATACAAGAGAGTCTTTTTCTCCCCTCTTGGGCTATTCCCAAGTCTCTTTGGGGGACAGTCTTCAGCCCCACCTTTGGGCTCAATATTCATTCTGTTGGGCTTGCATTCTGTTTCCTCGGCTGCTGGTAAGGAACCCCAAACCAATCTTCTATTCTGGATTCCTGCCTGGCGACCCAGTATAAAGTAGCTTGAGCTGCTCCTTCAGACAGGCTGCTGTTTCCATTTGCCAAGTTCTACTGCCAAGCGTCCTTGCGCTGCTTTCTCAGTTTGTACTTAACACAGCTTCTCTTCAGATCTCATCATTCACTCGCTTGAGTTCCTATGAAGTGCTTTTACTGCCTTACTTCAGGGCCTTCCTGTCCATATGTCTGATGCTAAGAGAGCTTTACTAATTGACTCAGAAGGAGTGAAGTCCAACCCAGTCCTTTAGTAATGGGGAGATTCTGGAGGTTCTTAACCTCTCTGCTTCAGGCAGTAAGGTACATGGGTATTCATTTTCAAAATCACGTTAATATAAAGTTTGTGAGACAGTTTAAACAGAAAGCAATTATGTTAGCGCTGAGAACTTGCACCATATATGCTGTTCAGTATAGAGCTCTTTTTATGTATAGTCGTAATGCTGTGTATGTGATCTTGTGTATGGCAAAAACCTTTATGTCCTTCCCCTTCTGCACAAGTTGCATTTTGATCCAGGGCTTATGATGTTAAAATACTAGAGAAAATGAGCTCTGAATAATTCCAGAGTTGTTATAAGAGCATGGAGGAAGAGTAGTCCTGTTAGAACTGCATTTAAAGAAGTGCAAGCAGCAAACCAGTATTTAATTGTATTCTCGTACTCGACTTTTAGGCTATATGTTGGTGAAAACTCATGGCTGAAATAGGATTTATTGAGAGTAATTATTAACCATACTTTAGATGTAAAAGAATATTTGCATGTTATCTGCCTTGTGATTAAGGAGATTGAGGTCTGATTTTTGTAACCTCTTGCTAACAATAGCAATATGTTGGCTTTTAGATTAAAACTGCTCAAATTGGTAAAATACTGAAGGAAAGGTTGGTGATCCCACTCTTTCTCTCCCCCCCCCCCAGGGTATTTTAAATCTAACACTGCAGCTAGGGTTGATTTAGAATGTTCTGAGCATCCCTGAAATTATCATTATTTAGTTGAGAATGTGTTGTTGAGAGCAAATCTATATTGTCAGGTAAATGGGAAAGTTGGCTTAATATAGGTCTCTTCCTTATCTAAATTCTGATTACATATGCTTGCTCTCCCAAGTAAGGGTATGTCTACACTACAGCACTAATTCGAACTTACTTAATCGAATTAGTTAATTTGAACTAAGCTAATTCGAACTAGTGCATCTAGACCTAAAAACTAGTTCGAATTAGCATTTTGCTCATTCGAACTAGCATGTCCACACTGAGTGGACCCTAAACCGAGGTTAAGGATGGCCGGAAGCAGTGCTGGCAGGGCATCAGATTAGGACTTAGAGCATGGAGCTGCTGTCTCAGGCTAGGCAAGGGCTGAGCTTAAAGGGACCCGACCCCCACCCCGGACAGACAGTTCTCAGGGGTTCCCTGCTCACTTGTCTAACTCGATGAGGGACAGCAAAGCAGTCCTGGCTTGGAGTGCCCTGACTGCTCACACTCGGCACGTCACAGCACTCGGCCATCAGCCCGGCTGCATTTGCCGCAGGCTGCCATCCGGGGGGGGGTGTCAATCGGGGGGCTGCAGGAGAGCTTCCACCCCGAGGAGCCCGCAGAGCCACCCCAGTCCTCCCCATCGGGGGCTCCCTCACCTCCTTCCACTTACCCCTCCCTAGCCCCCCTTCCTGATGTACGAAATAAAGGACACGTGTGTTCAAAAATAGAAACTCTCTTTATTAAACAAAACTGGGGGAGACTGGGAAAAGGAGGTGAGAGAGGGTGGGAGAGGGGAGGAGGAAACCTGGGAGGAGGGAGCTGGAAGGGGGAAGTCAGGGGAAGGAGGAGGAGGGGAAGTATCAAACTATGGTACGCCATATCTTCAGTACTATGTACCGATGTGATCTCCTCACCCCAGAAAAGATATTTTGGCCTTGGAAAGGGTTCAGAAAAGGGCAACTAAAATGATCAGGGGTTTGGAACAGGTCCCATATGAAGAGAGGCTAAAGAGACTGGGACTTTTCAGCTTAGAAAAGAGGAGACTGAGGGGGGATATGATAGAGGTCTATAAAATCATGAGTGGTGTGGAGAGGGTGCATAAAGAAAAGTTCTTCATTAGTTCCCATAATAGAAGGACTAGAGGACACCAAATGAAATGAATGGGTAGCAGGCTTCAAACTA